AGAGAGGGAGAGAAAGAGGGAGGGAGGGAGAGAGAGAGAGAGAGAGAGAGAGAGAGAGAGAGAGAGAGGGGAAGAGAGAAGAAGAGCGTTGAATCTACTTTCCATTAAGAGAAAGATTTGTTAAAACCTTTGAAAAGTAGAGTTTAGTCGTCTGCTTGCTCTCTCTCTCTCTCTCTCTCTCTCTCCCCCCCTCTTCTTCCCTCATTTCCTACCGTGCCTTAATTCAAGCCTCATGAATCGAAGAGACGTCTCCATTTTTCTCAATTTCGCGTCGAGGAGAGCTCGTCTCTCCGCCGATTATCAAGCGCAAATCGCAAAGATTCAGAAAGGCGCGTGTGTGCGCCTCCGGCGGCAAGGAGAAATTAAGGCATTCAAGATCAGATTTTTCGTGCAAACACTCGCGCACGCGAGCGGCCGCGCCGTTCCCTCCGCGGAAGTGCTTGTTTGGAGAACCGAATAAAGTACATAAGCTCCTCGCAAGTTACGGCCGGCGGCATCGTGCAACGGGCTGAGACTAAACCAGCGGCAAGAGAGGAGGCTGACCCTCATTTAGTCTGTTTCTCTCCTTCGCGCGACTTCCCTCCTCATTCCCGGCTGGCTTTTCGGCCGGCGCTAAGCCGCGGATAAATGCCGCCGCGCGGAGATATGTGCGACGCATCCCCGATTATCGTGTGCGCCGCGCCCCGCGTCGCGTTATCGTGTGCGCGAAATGCCAACGGAATACACAACCGTAACCGCACCTTGTTTACTCGGCGTCGCCGTGCGAGAGCGATATATCTCAAGAGCCTGCCGTTGTCTTTTTATTTGCGCACGTATGCGCGAATTTACCGGGCGCTGCGTTATCGCGCCGTCGCGCCCGCCGCTAATTAAGAGGCAGAGAGAGAGAGAGAGAGAGAGAGAGAGAGAGAGAGAGAGAGAGAGAGAGAGAGAGAGGGGAGGGAGAAAGAGGAGGGGATGCGTCCGCCGGCTAATTGGCCTCGAATCGAATCGAGAGACCGACTCGGCTCGAGCCATCGACTGAAAACGAACGCAAACGCGACGAAAGTCTAGTCACACGCGAGTCCGCGAAACTGTGTCACGGTGTGCCGCGGGATGTTCTTTCTCTCCCCCCACCCCCCCCCTCTCTCACTCTCTCTCTCTCTCTCTCTTTTTCTCTCTCGACCCTCGCGTCAGAGATAAGGTGAATGTCCCAATTAGCGACGTGTCCCAATTCCCGACAATTGTGCGCCCGTTTTTCCATCGCGAGCCGGCTGGCACGAGCCCGTAATCTAAATCCGAAACAACATGTAATCTTACTCGGAATTTTATACGTCATCGTTTGTAAGAAGTTTCGAATTGGAATTAAAAGCCGCCGCGACGAGAACGCTGCGACGCTCATAATTACGAGGGCGCCGCCAACGGCGACAATTCGGACAGCGAAAGTTGCTGCTTGATACGAAACGTCCGCCTGCAGGAGGATCCGGTTCGGACTTGCTGTCCAACTTTTTCCGAGACTCCGGGGCTGTCAATGGGAGGGGAAACAAACGTGAACTGTCGTGTCACGCTAAACGCTGCACCGTCGCCGCATTTTCGCGAGGGTATCAGAACTGCGAGTATTCCAACTTTCCAAGTGCCGGAGAGGCATCGAGCCTCGGGTTATATCACACACGGCAGCTTGCGGACTGCGACGCGTCCATTTTTAATTATGTTGACGTATCTTTACGAGGAAACTCTTGCTCCGCTCACGCTAATTGGGACATATTCCGCGTGCTCCACTTCGCTCGCTCATTCCGCTAATCGACGTCGCGCCGGCGCGACGTCGAAGCGATTTCACACAACAACGGCGCGCGCGCGTGTAACATCCTCTCTCGCTCTCTCTCTCTCTTCCGCCCGTACGAGCCGTTCCACTAACACTCAACGTCGAACGATCGCGCAGCAGAGGCACTCGGCCACTTGGCGGCTCTTCGGACGGAAATTTTCGCGGTCACCGCGTTGTCACGCGGGTCAAAAGGTATTAGCGAAAACTCCGGCAAGTTTGCGGCGCGCTCGCGCGTCATCGAAGTACGACGGCGGTGTCAAGCCCGAGCTGTAACTTCCATTACACGGGATTACGTTTGAGTTACACGTCCCCGAGTGTCGCGTAACTTTCTTGCCTGGAGATGTATCGCTCATCAGCGACGACGGGGAGAAGCGCGCGTTATGTACCCTCCTGTGCTTCATTATGTATACGCGCATTCGGAAAGTGGCACATCAGCTACTCTTCCCGGCGGAAGTTTACGTGCTGTTTACCACGCGGATCGCGCGGCGCTTCTGCCTCCGTCGCCTCCGCCGATATGCGCTCCCGGAACGGAACAGGTGCGAAACCAACCCGCCATCCGAGGAGAGACGAAGAGTCTCTCTTTTCTTTTTTTTTCCTTTTGCGGGGAAAATATCCTCGCGCGCTTTGGGAAATCGCGCCGATTTAGCCTGAATTCATATTAGAGCCTCCGTCGAGCTGTGCCGCGGCAGGCGGATTTTTCTCACCGACGCTGCGACGAGACGGCTGTCGTCGCTCCTCCGAGAGCGCCGAAGGATGCGACAGGCGGACGAGGGCGGCTCCAGCCTCAAAGTCGGCAAAGGCGGACGGAGCCTCGCGCGTAATCGCGCGGCAGGAAAATCACAGATCGCGCCGCCCGATCGCGCGTCGTTAATTACGCCCGGATGCGATCCGGTCGTTAAATCGCACGCGTCGTTATCGCCGATATTTTCTTTACGCGCGTCTAATTGACACATGGAGCCGCGAAAGCGGGCGGCGAACAACAACGGGCCGGGATGGAACAGGGGCGGAGCGCGGAGCGCGAAAAGCGCCTGCATTGTCCGCGCGTGCGTTACGCGCTTCCTCGCGCGGGCTCGCGCCGCGCGCGACAAATGCGCGAAAACGCGGCGACGAGCTAACGAGGTTTCCCCGATAAAAGCGAAGGACACGATCGACAAAATCCAATGGACGGTACTCTTGCGGAATCACGCGCTTTCGTTCCGTCGCGCTGCGTTCGGTACGCGCGCTGCGCAATTAATTAACCGGACACACTGCTCCTCGGGGAAGGGGAGAAAAGGAGGGAGGGCTAAAAAGCCGCAGTGTTTCTCGTTAGTCTTCATTAGCCACACAACAACGACGACAATGCCGCTATCCCCGACGCGCCGAAATAAACGGACGTCAGAGAGCGGGTCGATCGATCGGTTTTTCCAGATCGGCCGATCGGCTCTCGACGAGCCGGCCGCGCGGCTCGATTAAACGCGCATTAATCGACGCCGAAGGGAGAGATATGTCGCCGCGCGCGATCCGACCCGAGTAACAAAGCGCGCAAAACCGAGACGGCCGACCGCATTGAATATCTCTCTCATCCGGCGGCGAATAAATGGACGGGGAGCGCTCTGCCGCCGCCGACGAGATCACGTACGAAGAAGCAGACGAGCGCGATTAATGCAAACGGCGTTGACAATTCAATTCGCCGCGCGCGTGCGAATTAATTGACTCCGTCCAGTCCGTCCCTCGCCGTTCCTGACTGCCAGCGCCCACCGGAAGCGCACCTTTCTCCCTTCCGTCCTACGAGCTTGCTTTGTCCCTCTCCTTGTTTCGCGATAAGGTGTAAAAGTAGCGCAGACCGAACGAGCGGGCGAAAGAGAGAGAGAGAGAGAGAGAGAGCGCGAGAGGGTGAGAGGGTGGCAGGGAGAGGGTGAGAGAGGAGGACCTTTAACGATACGGCGGCATCGATTTTCGATTGGCGAGAACGACATCCGCGAAACCTTCGACAACGACGATGCTGCTCTTTTCCCCTCTCTCTCTCTCTCTCTCTCTCTCTCTCTCTCTCTCGCTCCCGTTCGTTAACGTAGAGACTACAGGGGAACATTAATATCGATATCAACGCTCGGCTCCGCTCGACGCGAGCACCTCTCTTGGCGAACATCTTGCCAGCATCTTCGCGAACGCGCAATATCAGTTCCCCGGCGTTGTCTCCCTCTCGGCGGCTACGCGTGTGTAATATCGGGGTTGTTCTCGCGAAGGGCTCGGGTCGTCGACAGGCGAACAGGGCCCGTTTTTCAGCCCGGCGTGCTCCCTGCTGAGGGAACGAGAAAACATCATTTCGGGCGCTAGGCGCCCGCGCGTGTCTGACGTTCGAAAGCCGCTTTGCTAGATAAATATGTCGCAAAAATTCGCGCGAGCGCGGCTTCGCGAATATCCCCCCGTCTTTATCCCTTAACGCCGTTTAAATGGTCGGTTCAAATTATTCTTGAAGGATTAGCGACGGCCCCGACGCTCACGCTCGCCTCGCAGCCGTTCCCCTCCTCCTCGGTCTCCCTCCTGCCGGCCGCGCTTAAAGAGACTCTCGTAAACCAGTCCTAAGCGGTTTGCATTTTCATGAATAACATTCGCGGAGCGTCCCGCTTTATCACCGCCCCCCCCCCCTCGTCTCTCCCCTCCAGTGTGCCGTGCTGCCCGTCCCACACCCCTTCGCCGCGATTATCTCTTGTTTTATCGCGCGACGGACGCGACCGGACTCTGCGACCGGCGCGGCGCGGCGCGAGATTCAAGAGCGGTGTAACGTTGACGTTAACGTAATGCAAACTTTTCGAGACACGCTAGCGCGACGGAGGGAAGGTCACCCTGATGGCCGTGTGAACTTTTAATTAGCGAGCGATCACGCGCTCGGTCGTGCTCCCGAAATGAATAATACGACGACGTCGCGGGGGACGCCGAGCCCGCCTCTCGAGTTTCACTCGCTCGGCACCCTTCTTCGTGCCTCTTCCTGGCCCCCTCCCTGAGCCTGGTATCCTTTGCAACATCAACAACCCTGTACTCGCGCTCGTCGATATTCTTCGTGCGGGAGCCCGTGACGGCCGGTGACGGCGTACTAAACCGACCGATGATAGCGCACACAGTCAATCTCCCACGGCGATTAAAGAGCGATTATAAACCGAGCGCGAAACGATCACGATCGACGACTGACGAGGGTAATTAATGGTGGTATGATATGAAACGTTAGTGCGGATGAGGGTTTCGACGGGACGTACCAAACAAACGTGGTGGTCACGCATAACGGCAGTTGCCTGTACGTCCCTCCGGGCATCTTCAAGAGCACATGCAAGATAGACATCACTTGGTTCCCCTTTGACGACCAACACTGTGACATGAAGTTCGGATCCTGGACCTACGACGGCAACCAGGTACACCACTGTCTCCACTTACACACCGACACACGCTCAGTACACACCGAGAGCACCAGACAACAGAGAAAGTTCTATCTCAAGCAGATTATGATCGATATGTCCCTTGAATTCTCTTACCGAATCAGCTACACGCGCTTTCGCTCGGGAATACCGGAAGCTGAGGGTGAATGGCTGATGGGACGAGGGAGCGCGAAATGTGGCCGTACGTCCGACGTGATGATCGCCGCGCGCGACGCGACGCGACGCGACGAGCACCACCGCCGCCCGCGTCCTCTGCGTGTGCGCGTGTGTGTATGTGTGCGTGTGTGTGAGTGATATACCCCGTAATATCCGGCGGGAAGATTTTTATTGACCAACCCACGCCGCGCGTGCGAGATGAGAGATGACAGCGCTAATATGAGGTTAGCGCGTGCGAAAGCTTCCGCTTACCTGTCGACGCGGATTCTCCGAATAGCTGCGAGTCAATTTGCACGCGCGCGCGCGCGCGCAATGTCCTTCTTCCGCCTTCCTCCTTCGTCTTTTCTTTACGTCTCGGGCAATTTTTCTTCTCCTTTTTTTCTTCGGTCGCCTTTGGCACTCCGCAAATGGCGCAGTCCAACGCAGTCCGAGACTCGTCGAGCTCGCGTTTTCCTCATGTAACAATTATTAACTCTCATCATCGCGCGGGGGTTCATTAGATCCGCCCTCGAGTGCGATGAGACGACGAGAAGTTTACAGTCTTCGGCAGCACACCCGCGCACGCGCACACAGAGACTCGCGACTGTCCAATTGTCAGAGCCCGCGAATATTTTTGTAGATCCCCTCTGCACGCTTTGCTGGCGAGACGAGAGAGTTGAAAAACCGCTAAATAATTACGGGAGGCCAAAATCGCGACGATAAAAAGGCGCGAGTACGCCGCCGTTTAATTACCGCTCAATTACCAATTACCGAGGGGCCAAGGGGCCATGTCCGCCCCTAACGAGCTCGCGAGCGAATTTCCACGCTGGCGCGGGAAACACACCGCCCCGAGGATTATCCACTACCCCGCGCGCCTCGCCACCCCTCCGGCGGCACTCGCGCGCGAGCGGCGGCGGAGGTTCGAGCGATCCTCTCGGCGTTCCATCGACGTCGCCGGCGGGGGCCACTTTCGTTGTCCGTTCGCCATCAGGTTCGCCCTCGCTACCACGAGAGAGACTCGACCCAGCTCCCACCTCGCTCCCAGCTGAGAAAACCCCCCTGATTCCCCCGCCGTCCATATCGCGGGCACCTTCGCGGCTTCTTCTGTCCGACACAAGACTCACAGTGCAAAACACACAATAGCGATGCTCCATAGATAGCCGTTTTCACGCTTCGTAGCTTCAGCTCGGATCTATATATACATATTACATAGGCATATATATTATTATTATTATATGACATATAATATTTTACATGTTACACGTACGAGAACACACACGCGCACTGACGTATGTGCGAGCGTAGAATGGAGAATGCCGCGGGAAGGAAAGAGATGAAGCGAGATCGGAAAATGTCAGAGATAGCACCCCCTCCCCCTCTTCCAGCACTCCGGAAGGGAATTTCGCCGTCGCGCGGCTCATCGACGACGTCTCCGTTCTTCATCCGTGACTCGTCATTTTCGCGCGCGCGGTTCGTCTCTCTCTCTCTCTCTCTCTCTCTCTCTCTCCCTCTTTCCCTCTCTCGGTCTCGAATATACGGCAGAAAATTTCGAGACATTTTAAGCCGAGGGAGAGGCAGGCAGAGAGAGAGAGAGAGAGAGAGAGAGAGAGAGAGCGAGAGACATGTTCCGTTTCACGAACGGTTGTCGCCGTTTCCCGAGACATGTCCGCGCCCGGAGCGGAGGGAGGAGAAAGCGTGCTCGATTTTCGGGGCGTTTCGTCGGGCGAATTACAGCGACGTGGTGCTGGGGGGCCTCTGCGAGGCTACGTTCTCCGTAAATCGTGCGGCACCCTGGGAGTCGATTACCGCTGCGGAAATATGCCGATAATGCGAGCGGGGCTCGAATCGTCCAATTCGATCTCGCCTTGTTCAATTATTCCCAAATTGCGGGTAACTTGAGGTGATCGCCGTTAATGGAGCGATCTCCAAGCAACACATATATACGCATACACGCAGACATGCATATATACACACACACACACACACATATACACACACGCACCATTAGGACGATTGTTTCCGTCGGTTCCGGCGAGCTCGTGGATCACCTCGCTCGATCTCGTGCTCACTTTGTCACAGCGCACGCACCGGTGTCTCTCTTCGCAATGCGGCGAAGCGCGATTGCGTCTCAGTGCTCTTTCTTTTTACAATCGGATCAACAAATCGCTCTCGATGTCCACACCGAGACGGCTGAGTCGTTTACTTCCGCCCGGCGTGGCGGAGAAACGAGCCTTCGGCTCTGCGGCGCTCGGTTTTACGAACGAGCTTACTTTCGCGCGTATAATTTTATCCACGCGGCGGACTTCGGCGGGGCCGTGATTTTGTTAACCCTTTAACGCCTACTGGTAACTGTAATGTTACCAGAAACGCATTTAAGGATCCATAACTTAGGAGGATCCACAAAAAGGAGATATCTTCGGTTTCTTTGCACCTGCACCGTAAAGGTGAATTTTTCTTCTAAAAAATGCTATATAGATTGTATGTAGATCCGGTTTAGTCTGTTTTTAGCTCACTTTCAATGATAATATGTTTTGTCAAATTCCAAGTAGGCATAGTTAGCATTGTTAGTGACATCTTGAAGTGCACTATAAATGAATAGATTGGTATCTGTTATAATTTTATACATTTGGAAGCTTCCTCAGATGCAAAATGTGAAATTAAAAGAATACAGTGAAATTCAAAATGGCGGATCCAATATGGTGAACACGAAAATCAAGAAATCAAGCTATTTCCGTGAAACCTGGTGAAACCTACAGTTTTTATGCGGCGAAAAATAAAGGGACGATTGACTATCTAAATGGTGATCTATAAGATATTCTTCTGAAATAGTAAGCTTGACGCTCTGAAAGACAAACTTCATTCAGAAATATAGTAAAGTTTCAGCTCAAAAATGTCAAGCTGATTATCAGAGTTATCCTTCATTTCTCTCTGTATAGCTTGCTCATTTCGTATACGCTTTTATTTTAGGATCCAAGTCATATTTACCAATAAACAAAAAACGAACGATAAAAAAACCAAACTAACGAAACCAACAAACGAAAAGAGGAGACTTCATGTGCTCATTTATTCAGAAGTAAATGATCGATGCTGATTTCCCGTGTAATTGTTTCACGGTTCTTCCATCTGGATAACCATAAAATTATTGAAACTAAAAAAAAATTTAACCGATCGGGCATATTTTTCGCTTCTGGGAGTGGTTTCCGCTTGAAAAGGCAGTTTCTCGTAGTACATAAAATTCTGATCTTTCTTTCGGTTATCGCTATACTTATAGTCTCAGTTGAGAAAAACTCAAATTTTATTCTTAAAACACTTATAAAAAAGTCGGGCGTTAAAGGGTTAAACTACTCTCTGGACTCGATTATGTCCGAATTGCGGGCAACCGATGGCGACCGCCGTTAATGGCACGATCTCTCGGCGTGCTTCTCTCCCCGTAGATCACGCCGCGGATATTTCGACGCGCGTTGTCGACGGTAATTGCATCCACGGCGCCGGATAAATTGCCGCTGCGCCTTCGTGCGCCGGGGCGAGAGCGCTTCGCGGGCCGCGTGTAATGCACTTTTCCGGCAGCCGCGTCACATGCTAATTACCCCCGATTACGCTTTTCACAGCGTCGTTCCCCGCCGCGCACAATCTCGCCGAGACACACTTGCGCTCTCGCGGTTCACGTCCTCCCCTCGCGCGCGTCGCCGGCGCGAGAATCGCGCGTTCGTGTCGCGTCGTCTCGCTTCTTCCACGCCGGCGGGGGCGGCTTCATTTCCCGCGATCGTCAGTCATCAAGCGCGCATTTTTTCTTTTCGTCGAGTTTCCGCCAAAGTCTCGCTCGCGCGGCTCCCGCCGCCTAATCCACCCGCGGCGCGAGCTGGCGGCCCGCCAACGCGCCGCGGTAATTTCAAAGTTCCACATTAGCCGTGCAAATCGTGCGCGATTCTCGCTCCTTCTCGGCCCGCCGAAATTTCCGCGCCGGCGAAAACGCGTTCCGCGATTTCACGACAGCGATCGATCGCAGTCGATCGCGCCGATTCCGCTTGCCTCGCTCTCGCTCTCGTCGGCCCGCCGCGCGATAAATTCCGTCCGCCGACGCGACAACTATTCCCCCCGCGTCGACGCGTAATGTGTGGAAACCGAGACGTGCCCTCACCTCTTCTCCGACGAGGTGCAGCGAGGCGTCTGGCGCGAGCGCGCGACAAGTCAAGTTTGCCGAACTCGTTCCCACGGCGCGCAGTTTGTAGGGCGCGCATAAACGCCAAATGTTAAATTCATTTTACTTACGACCCGGCCTCGACACCTCGCCGCGTCCGTGACAGTTTCTCCGCAGCTTCTCCCCAGTGGCCGCAAAGAAGTCGATTCTCGAGTAGCGGCGCGAAACTCGACGCGCCAGCCTGGCCCGTCGCTTCGAGTCATCGTACGCGCGACGCGTCAACTTAATGACACGGAAAATCCGTATAATTCGGATCGGTGTATCGCGCGTCGGCGACGCGGCGTGTTTCCGCGATTCCGCCTGATTTCCCGCCCGACGAGAGAACATTATTCGGCTTATTGCGCCACCGGTTAATCGCCCCGCCCGTTATACGTGTCCGCACGATTTTTCCGGCCGAGCGCCAAGTCACACGGAGAGAATTTTCCCGCAAAACACTGTGACGCGCGCACGGAAAAAGTACAGCGCGCTACACACGGAGAAGAGGATCATTCCGCCGCTGTTGAGGAAAGCGATTACTCGCTTCATGCTCGTCCTTTTGAATAATCCAACGAGGAGTATTTTCTTCACAATAGTAGTCTCGAAATGCGCTCATCGCGAGTTTCAGGAAAGCTCGTTGTCGTGCGTTCGAACGAAAAATTCACTC